GCCGCTGGCGTGGGGGCGAGGCCGGGGTCCCCGCCGCTGTGATGAATGTACTGAAGAGCCGAGGAGCAGCGCCCACCACGGCCCCCACGCCCCATTAACCCACACCCCCATTCCGCGCAATAAACGACAGCATTGGCGCCCAGCGCGCCGTGTCCGACTGCTTGGCGGCGCGTGTCCCGGGCCGTGGGGACCCACGGCTTTATTTACACGGAGCGGGGCGGGGCGGGGCCGTCAGCTGAAGAAGTACTTGGAGTGCTTCACCTGCTCCAGGTTGAAGTCCCCTACGGAGGGAGGCGGGCTGAGGTCTGGGGACCCCGGAACCCCAGGCTCCCGGAGGCTGCGCCCCCACCCGCCCCACCCCCGCGCGTGCGCACGCCCGAGGCCGCCTCTTACCGGTCTGGGGCACCGACTTGAGCCGATTCTGCAGCTGGGACAGCAGGAGTCGCTCCGAGGGCTTGTGGGACCTGGCGTGGAGGGGAGGGTGAGGCTCGGGCAGACGGGCAGGGCAGGCCGAAGCAGCGCACGGGAGCGCGGGCGCCTCACCTGGGGTTGTCGCAGAAGCGCTTCTGAAGGAAGGTGGACAGGTCCTGCAGGATGGGCTGGCTGTGCAGGTGGATGAACTGCTCACGGCACACCTGCAGGGGGAGCCAGGGGGCTGCTTGCTGGGGATAGGGGTGTCCAGTGGGCTCCTAGGGGACTGGGCACTACCCCTGGGGGCACTGACTACTAAGGTGGAGAAGCAAGGCCCCACTCCCCCATGCTGGGTTGGGTGCTGCACGCACCTGGTTCATGACCGGGATGTCAGCCGCGTGAGTCCAGAAGCAGTCATGCACCGAGACGAAAGTCAGCCCCTTCCTGTGTGGCACAGGCCCATGAGGAGGAAGTCACGCCTGGCTGCAGCCCCTCCACCTGGCACCCTCCCTAGCCTGCCCCTATCCTGTCCACAGGACGTGGCCTCACCCCCTCAGGGTGGCCATAAGACCCCTACCTTGGGTTCCAGCCAAGCCTAGAGCCATGTTAGATACCCTGACGGCCTGTATGCAGGATACATGCTAGGGGCCTCCACTGGTGCTCTGCATGGCCCGTGGCCCCAGAACCCTCACGGGCCTGTTGTGTGAGGACCTCTAGGACCCGTTCATCATCCCACCCACCTTCACATGCGCACTGACACCTCCCCCCCCGCCCCACATCATCTCCCGTGTCCCCATCACTAGTGTGGCCGCAGCCTGGGGTAGAGCGTGGGCGCCCACCGGTAGCAGTGCAGCGCCGTGAGCATCATGTGGGCGGAGTCCAGCGAGTGGATGAAGTTGGGGGGAAAGCCATTCTTCTGCTTCAGTGTGTTGGGCTTCCTGGGGGGAAGGAACCTGTGAGGCTGCATGTCAGCCCCGCCCCTTGACACCCCTGCCTCCTCCCCCGGTGCCCCCTCACTGTCTGCTGTCCACGGTGCTGGTGCAGGTGATGCTCTGGATGCCACCCGGGACCTGAGGGGCAGGGGACAGGGGCCGGTAAGTCCCAAGCCTAGGCCCTGCGTCACAGGGCAGGACGAAGGCCCCCATACCTGGTACTTGACGTCATGGTGATAGGGCTGGACGACAGGGATGCCCAGGGGCGTGACCCACTCCACAGCATAGCCTGCCTGTGAGATGAGGCGCGCGCTCTCGCTCAGCCAGTGCTGTGGACCGAACATGAGCTCAGGCTGCAGCGGTGGCCCCTGGAGAGCTGGGGCAGAGCCCAGGCAGGGCTGGGAATGGGGGGCCCCAAACATACCTGGATGGCGCGAGTACCTGAGAACATCTCCTGCAGGCTCTTGAAGACCAGGCGGACGAGGTAGTGGGAGGCTTCCCAGATGAACTCCTGCAGAGGCAGGGGGTGAGTGGGGCAGGCCTCCCCCCACTCACACCTGACCCCACAGTTCAGGGCAGAGCCCCGCGCGGGGCAGGGCGGGATGGGGTGCAGCAGCACAGGCACCTGGGGGAAGCTGTCCAGCTCCCGGAGGCGCTTCTCAATCTGGAGGCGGCCGCCGTAGCGGGTGACGCCGTACACCACCGTCATCACCGTCTGCTTCACTACTTTGCGGCTGATGAAGCCCTCCAGCACCTGCGCCACCAGCACGCCCTTCTTCACGTCCTCCCTGCGGAACACCTCCACCTGGCCGTGGGGAAGGGTGATACCCCACGTCAGTGCCCCTAGGGGGCCCCCTCCAGGAGCCCCAGCTCCCCCACCCCATTACATGTGTGACGGGCTGATGGCGGGAACGGTACGGGACAGTGGCCTGCTATCTTGGGAAGGGACAGCAGCACCCTCACACCCACCTTCGCAGCCACCTCGCTGTACACGTCTTGTGGCAGGTCCGAGGGTAACAGGTTGACGGAGGCAGCGCCTATGCTGTCCCGGCCCAGGGCAGCGTAATGCTGTAGACCATTGCAGGAGCCATCCTGGGCAGTGGGAGGAGGACATCTGTGAGCTGGGACCACTACGCTGGGCCCCTACTGCCCAGGGCTCTGTCCACGCGAGCTCCCAGGGCCCCAGGACCAAGAAATAGGCATGTGAGCACCCTAGTGGGCCAACGCCACACACTCACCTGGTGAACAGGTAGGTGGGAAATATAGGCAGTAGGGTCGGGGGAACGCACCGCCTGTGCTACCTCTATGCAGCAGGCCAGGGTCTGCCAGGGCTCGTCGGCCTTCATCCACCACTTCTTGCCCTGTGGGAGAGAGCAGGTGGGCACCCAGGTGAGGTGCAGGCCCCGGGCGCAGGGCAGCACTCAGCACGGGCCAGCTGAACAGGCTGAGAAGACATGGGAACACAGGAAGGCCAGACACACGGTGTGTGACAAGAGAGACACGGTCTAGATGGGCAAGACAGGGGGCCAGAGGGGAGAAGGTTCTAGAAGGAAGGCTGTTTGCTGGAAGCTATCAGCTATTTCTGAACTGGAACAGGGAACAAATACAGAAAGGAAGAGAGAAGACAGAGGTGGGGGGGGGGAGTTAAGACACAGAGAAAGGGAGAGAGACACATAGGAGGTAGAAAGAGAATGGGGGCAGGATGCCTGCAGATCCTTACCGTCATGGGCCTGTCTGCAGAGTCCAAAATGTCCTCCATCACCTGGTTGGCAAAGGCCAGACGGGCCTTGAGTGATTCCCGCTTCTTGAGGCCGGTGAGGTTGACCAGATGGATCTTGAGCCAGTCAAGGCCTTGGGGGCCCAGGGGGCGGCCTTCGGCGAACTGCAGCAGAGATCGGGCCAGGTCACTGCCCAGGTGGTTGAAGTGAGGCGGGCAGGGGTAGGTGCGGCCACGGAAGTCCATGTTGTGGGGCAGCCAGAAGATGCGGCTCCGCAGGTGCTGGGCCAGCGAGAGGCGGTACAGGGCCTCCATGCGCAGGCTGTGCATCTCCCGCGCCACCTTTAGGCAGTGTGCCAGCTCCCGCCGCACCTCGGCCTTGCGGGCGGGTGGCGTGTTGGGCGGCAGCACGCCCTCTGGTGGCTGGGGTGCCTCTGAGACCGGCGGTGGCACACCCAGGCGGACGCTGCCCTTGTCCAGGAAGACCTCGAGCACCAGGTCCAGCAGGCGCCCATTGACGCGCCAGGCACAGTTTCCCAGCTGGGTGAGCGTGTCCAGAGCGCCATGCAGGTCGGTGGCGGGGCAGCTCTCCAGCAGGCGCTGGTGCTGCAGGTTGCCGTCCACGCCGCGCATCAGCTTGGTGGGGTTCAGCAGGAAGGCACCCGTGTGTGAGGAGGTCCAAGGCAGCGGGGGGCACAGCATGGGCACGTCGGTCGACTCGAAGTTCAGCGTGGACTCTGCGGCGGTAGCCAGCAGCTGCGTGTAGGCTGGGTGTGGCTTCAGGATGCCGATCTGGGCAAGATGGCAGAGGTCAGGGCCAGGCCCTACGGGGAACAACCAGCTGCTTCTGCCAGGGCTCAGGAGGGAGCCACTGTGCAGTGGCCTTACAATGGACACGGGTGGCCCCGTGCCACGAGGAGCCCGGGCACCCTCGGAGGCCCTACCCACCTGGCGGAAGCTCCGGAAGGAGTAGACGTGGTACAGCACCGGGATGAGCTTGCGGGAGCCCTGGCTCGTGCCCAGGTTGTGGGGCATCTCCACAGCCTGCACCAGCATCTCAGCCAGGTGTCTGCCCAGCTTCATGAGCAGCGGCATGGGCCAGGGCTGCAGCGGTGGCATGTCAGGGGCCCCCAGCGCCTCCCAGTACTGCCGAGGTAGGCAGGGTGTGGCCACCTGCGGGGAGTCAGTCAGGGGAGGTGGGGTGATGCTTTACCCACTGCGCGGGGCACACAGAGCGGCGGCAGCAGGGACAGGGGGCCCAGGGCTGTTCCCGTCCACTCTCACCTGGGTGTCAGAGGCCAGCAAGTGTAGGTACCGCAGGTACCGCTGCTCCAGCTCCTGCAACTGGTGGTTGCGCTGTTTCTGCTGCACAGCATGCCGGTTGAAGACGCGAATGCCCAGGTCATGGGCCAGGAACATGAGTGACTCACCCTGGGAGGGCAACGCCTGCAAGGCCTAGGGGGACGGGGCAGCCATGAGCGCCACCGGCCCACGGTCTGCCACCCACTCGCTGGCGCAGGGACCGGCCGGCTGGCACGCACCTGCATGAGCAGGCCCACCAGGTCCTTCTCGCTCAGCAGGCACAGGAAGGGGTAGAGCGAGGGCTGACCCTGGTGCGCTTCCCGGGCCATGCGAGCCTTCGTCTCCTGCAACACTCGGTGCAGTGCAGCCTCCCACTGGGCACGCAGGGCCTTCAGGGTCTTCCGCTGCGATTGGGCATGATGTGGACTTGTCACGGCGCAGCCACCACACCGGAGCAGTTATCTCAAGAGATACCTGCCAGGTGGGGCTGCCTGGTGTCTTGGCTGCTAGGATCCTTGAAGCAGCCTCTCACCCAGCCTGGCTCCGTGAGTGGATGGCCTCAGGGGCCAAGGGTATGGAGGGAGGGGGGGGCGGAGAAACCCATAGGAGATAAGGCTGAACTCTAACACAGGAGTCTCCAGCTGGCCGGGCCTGAGGCCTACAGCAGGGCTGCATCTTACCGCCTCTAGGACTGGCCTGTCCAACTTCGGTGCCTTCTCTACGGACTCTACAGAAATGTTGGCCTCCAGCTCCATGCGCAGCTGCTCCTGGAAGAGGTCCTGCAGAGTTTTCAGGGGTAGCGGCAGCCTTGGGTATGACGTGGGCCCGTCCTGGGGGGACACCATGGACAAGGGAAGAAGCTGGAAGCGGAGCTGGCTTTCCTGGCAGCTCAGCTCACCCGTTGCTCCCTAGAAGCCCGTCACCCAGCACGGTCACAGCACAGTCTCTGAAAGTAACCCAGGTCTCTTTTTTTTGTTATTGTTGTTGATCTTGGGGCTTGAACTCTGGGCCTGGGCGCTGACCCTCAGCGCTTCAGCTCAAGGCTAGTGCTCTACCACTTGAGCCACAGCGCCACTTCTGGCTTTTTCTGTTTATGTGGTACTGAGGAATCGAACCCAGGGCCTCATGCATGCAAGAAGGCAAGCACTCTACCACTGAGTCACCTTCCCAGCCTGGTCCATGTCTCTTGCCCAGGCTGGGCAGAGCCCAGGGAGCTGGCTTGCTGCATCCCCCATGTGCACCTTCTTTCCAAACTTGCAACTGAGTGAAGGTACAAGCCATGAATAATAAATGAGTTAAAAAAAAAAGTGTAGAGTATGGCTGGGAATAGGGCTTAGTGGTAGAGTGCTTGCCTAGCATGCATGAAGCTCTGGGTTCGATTCCTCAGTACCACATGCACAGAAAAAGCTGGAAGTGGAACTGTGGGAGAGGGCTAGCTTTAGCAAAAGCAGCTCAGGGACAGTGCCCAGGCCCTGAGTTCAAGCCCCAGAACTGGCACAAAAAAAAAAATCCGAGCACTGGTGGTTCACACCTATAATCCTAGCTATACAGAAGGCTGAGGATCACAGTTCAAAGCCAGCCCAGTCATCAAAGTCCATGAGATTCTTGTCTCCAACTAATCACCAAAAAGCCAGAAGTGGAGCTATGATTCAAGTAGTGGAGAGCTAGTCTTCAACATGAAAGCTCAGGGACAGCACTCAGGCTCCAAGTTCAAGCTCCAGGACCAGGACTAAAACCCAAAGCTTGGAGAAGGGAAAGCCCAGGTCTACAAAGAAGCGGGGTACAGCCTCCCCTCCCAGCGGCAGGGCCTAGCAGTCCTTGATGGTGGTTCCTCCACACTGAGCATCGTGCAGCCTGGAACGGGATGAGGCTGTGACCCCCGCCGCAGTGTGGAGGGGCCTTGAGGACACCACGCTCAGAGAGTAACCAAACACCAAAGGCCCCGCCGTGTGTGGCGCCACTGATAGGGAATGTGCAGAGCGGGGAAGGGACCAGCGTGGGGTGTGGCCAGGAGGAATGCACACAAGCTGTGCTTTGCATAGTGAACTGTATAGTAAAAGGCACATCAGAGCCTTCTCGTCTGGCTGCCCTGGGGATTGGCAGAGTGACATCCCGACACTTAAGCTATGCCCCACACTTCAGTTTCTCATGGCCTGGCCCCGCCCCCTGCTCTACCCCCCCCCACCACCAATCTCAGGGTCAAGGGCTGTGTACCCCGCCAGGGCAGGCACCTGAGCTCATGCTTCGTGAAGTCCAAAGGGAGAAACGTGGAGTCCATGTGGTGGCCCACAAGACCACCAGGCATCAGCAGTGGTGCCCGGGGGCTGAGCTGGGGCTGCCCAGTCCAGGTCTTACCTGGGCGTAGATGTCCTTGAGTAGTGTGGACGTGTTGACTTGGGGCGGGGCCTGTGGTGGGCTGAAGTCGGGCTGAGCCTTGAGCAGAGCATTCAGGAGTGCGGCGCGCTCCTCGGTGGGCATGGCCAGGTCTGTGAAGAGCTGCTGCAGCTGCAGCCCGTCCTGGGCCATCTGCTTTACACACCTGTGAGGGAGCCACGGGCGAGGGCACCCAGGCTGGGATGGGCCGGCCTGGCTCATGGGCCTGGAACCACCCTGAGGGATCTTGGGGCCACCTCCTGCTCCCTCCTGCCCACCTCAGTGCAGCCCTACTGAGCCCAGCGGACCCATGGCAGTGGCTATTGACACACAGAGACCTTGCCGTGCGTGCGTGCGCACGTGTGCACACGCCAGTTCTGGGGCTTGAACTCAGGGTCCAGACGCTGTCCTTGAGCTTTTTTTACTCAAGGCTAGCACTCTACTACTTGGGCCACAGCTCCACTTCTGGCTTTTTGCTTATTAACTAGAGAAAAGAGTCCCATAGACTTTCCTGCCTAGGCTGGCTTCAAACTGTGAGCCTCAGATCTCAACCTCCTGAGTCGCCAGAATGATAGGTGCGTGCCACCGGCACTTACCTTTTGATGGTGTGGACATCTGAGTTCACCCTCCCCAAGCACTGGAGGGCAGCCGCATAGGACAGCAGGTCTGGACTGAGGCCAGCGTCTTTCATCATGAAGAATACATACACCAGTTCCTTGAGGGAGCCCTGGGAACACCACACCAGGCTGAGGGCCTGGGGTAGCCCTGAGCCCCTCCCCATGGCACCACTGACTCCAGGGGAGGAGCCACCCGGAGAAGCAGAACAGCCAAGTGGCTGCCACAGGCTCTGTGCCTCTCTGGGGCTTGTCTGCACTGAACTTCTGGTTTAGGGACACAAACATGCATGCGTTCAGGCCTGGCCTGCTAGTGTTTCACCAATGTAGCAATAGTTCCAAGAACTGACTCCTCCCCCAGATCACATTTTCCTGCTCCAATTTTATTGCTTCCTTTAGTGTCCTGGCTTTAAGCTTAGGGTGCACTTTTTTGTCTACTTTCCTAAGATGGGAGGTGGTGTTACCAATCTGAGATATGTGTGTGTGCGTGCGTGTCCATGCGTGCCAATCGTGTGGCTTGAACTTAGGGCCTGGGTACCTTAGCCTTTTCACTCAAGGCTGATGCTCTACTACTTGAGCCACATTTCCATTTCTGGCTTTTTGCTGGTTAACTAGAAATAAGGGTGTCACAGACTTTTCCTGCCTGAGCTGGCTTCAAACCTATATCTTAGATCTCAGCCTCCTAAGTAGCAAGGATTACAGAGACGCACCACCATCTGCTTGTCTTCACATTTTAACAGTTTTTTCTCCCCAAACAGAATTCACTTTTTTGGTAAACATCAGACACACTCTTACTGCTAGTTCTCAGGGCTCCAGGACCAAGAGGAGGAAAAGAGAATACTGGGGTTTCTTCATGAGAGAATACGTTAACAGTGCTCCTAAACAATCAATGGACCAGAGAGAAAACTGAGAGAGGGAATTCACAAAAACAAAGCCAAGGGGTGCAGCTAAAGCAATGCTTAGAGGGCAAATGATAGCTGTAGATACCTGCATTAACAAAGAAGGGTCACACAACAATACTCTAACCTTCTACCTGAGAAAACTAAAAAAAAAAAAAAGAACAAGCAGACCCTGCTGGACACTGGTGACTCACACCTATAATCCTAGCTACTCAGGGGGCTGAGATCTGAGGCCTGTGGTGCAAAGCCAGCAAGGGCAAGAAATTCTGCAGGACTCTTATCTCCAATTAACCACCAGAAAACTGGAAGTAGAGCTATGACTCAAGTAGTAGAGCACCCAACCTTGAGTGGTAGCCAAGTAAGAATGCTAGACTCTGCGCTGAGAATGTGGCTTAGTGGTAGAGTGCTTGCCTAGCATGCATGAAGCCCTGGGTTTGATTCCTTAGTACCACATACACAGAAAAAGCCAGAAGTGGTGCTGTGGCTTAAGTGCTAAGAGTGCTAGTCTTGAAGCTCAGGGACAGCGCCCAGACCCTGAGTTCAAACCCCAGGGCCGGCACACAAAAAGAAAGAATGACTAAAACAGAAAGGAGTTGAACTTCAGAGTTCAAATCTATGTGAGGACAAATCCCACCTTGGGACCTCAGCTCTGTGGTGGGTGTCAGGGCAGATGCCTAGCACTTGGGGTGCCTGCTGCACCAGGTGGCCTCGTTCTCACCTTGCGGGCCCAGCCGAGCATGACGATGTTGTACATGGTGAGGGTCAGCAGCTGCCGCCTCCGGGGCATGGAGTGCTGGCTGACCAGCACGTGGTGGGCCAGGGGCAGGTGGTCAGTGGTCAGGCAGCACTCCAGAAAGGCCAGCATGTTCCGCTGCCGGGCAGACACATGCTCTTCCTCCTCCTGGTCGTCTGGTGGAGCCTGCATCTTCACGCTCAGCTTCTCTGAGGCCTTCTGCAGCACCTGCTCCAGCCTCTCTTCCCAGGGGCTCTGGAGCCCCTCTTGCTGCAGGCAGCCGGCCAGCTCCTCGCTCAGGAGCTGGGGCTCCAGGCGCAGGGGCCGGGGCTTCAGCTTCTGGGCCAGCTTCTGGGAGTGCTTCTGCAGCCGCTTCTCGATCCGCTGCTGGCGATTCTGCATCTTCTGCTTATCCTGGTTGAGCTTCTGTTCCCAGCGAGTAGGAACTGTGGGCGCCTGGGCCACCTTGACCCTCTTTACCATCATTTCAGACAGGCTCTCGGCCTGCAGCTGGCGTACCCGCGCCTCCAGCACTGCGGGAAGGGGAAGAGGCAGAGAACCAGGCCCCCCTTAGCCGCCCAACACGCCCAGGTAGGACAGGCAGGGGTGATGCTTCCACTCTGGCTTTGTACTACAAACACTGTGCTAACTTCTTTTCTACCACACTCCCAGCTTCTGTTCACTGAGCCCCTCAAACTCAGTACCCCAAGTGAGTTTGAGTTCCCCAAGACCTGGTCTTCTAGGTCCTCCCCCTCACTGGACACCCTGTTCCTCCAGCCCACAGCTGGTATCACCTGTAACTCTCTCCGTACCACAATTCAGCATGTCTTCCAGCTCTGTCTGCTTAGGCCTCCTTAGGGAACTGTTAGATCCTGCTCAGGCCCTAACCTCTCCCACTTGCTCACCTTTTTTTTTTTTTAATGCCAGTACTAGGGTTTGAACTCTGGGCCATTTGTTCTTTGGCTTGATTTCCCCCCCCCCAGGGTCTTTGCCCCGCACCTGAACCACCCCAGCTGGGACCCTGAACCCTCCCTCCCCCTCACAACCACATGGTGTTTCCTTCTCTCACACACTTGACTCTAGACAGGGCACATTCTAGAAGGTTATTGTCAACACGGAGCTAACTAAGCCACTGCTCTCAGGGAAATAAAAGCCAGGTTTGCCCAAGGCTTCAGGTCATTTTTATCAATTAACCAAAATATAACATGTACCAGGTACTGAATTCTAGAATCCTAGAATACTGAGGACCAACTGCATCTGTCTTCTGCTTCCTGAGCTTTCCTCACCAGAATACCAGAAGAGAGTCCTAGCAGTGGGCTTTGATCAGGGCCCAGATAGAACACATGGCAAGAAACTAGTATAGACTTGTTGAGCCAGGTACCAGTGGCTCACACCTCTAATCCTAGTTACTCAGGAGGCTTATATCTGAGGATCACAGTTCAAAGCCAGCCCAGGCAGGCAAGTCTGTGAGACTCTCATCTCCAATAAGCCACTCAGAAAACTGGAAGTGATGCTGTGGCTCAATTGGTAGAGTGCTCACCTTGAGCTGAAGAGCTGAGAAATAGTGCCCGGGCCCAGAGTTCAAGCCCCACAACCGACAAAAAATAAAAAGCAGGATGTGGCTATCTAAGCTTGTTGTGTTGTTTTTGTTTGTTTGTTTGTTTCATCAGTCATGGGGCTTGAATTCTGGGCCTGGGTGCTATCCCTCAGCTCTTCAGCTCTGGGCGAGCACTCTACCACTTGAGCCAGAGTGCCACTTCCAGTTTTTCTGATGGTTAATTGGAGATAAGTCTCAAGGACTTTCCTGCCTGGGTTGACTTTGAACCTCAAGATCCTCAGATCTCAGCCTCCTGAGTAGCTAAAATTAAAGGCGTGAGCCAAAGGCACCCAGTTCTAAGCTTGTTATCTCAGTCAGGCAGGCAGGAAGTACAAGTAAGAGGATTTGGGTCTAAGGCTGGTCCCAGACAAATCATAAGACCTTACTGGCACTAGAAGTCCTAGGAGCTTGGGCCTATAATCCTAGCTACTCAAGAGGCTGAGAGCTGAGGATCTCAGTTCAAAGATAGCCAGGGCAGGAATGTTCTTGAGACCCTTATCTCTAACCACCAAAAAAGCCAGAAGTGGTCCTGCGGCTCCAAGTGGTAGAGTACTAGCTTTGAGCAAAGGAGCTCAAGTTAGAGCTCAGGCCCAGGTGTCAAGCCCCACAACCAGGAGAGGAAAAAAAAAGAGCAAATGCCACCCACTCAGTGTCGCCCGCTGAGCCCCCCTTGGGACCCGTTCACACAAAGCTTCAGTGTCTTCTCCGCACACTAGGGAACTTGTTCCCTTTTCCAGGGGTCACTCTTGGAAAGCAGAGTTGGGACCCCAGCAGGAGCAGCACATGGCTACCAATACACAGGGGCTCCGGTTGACCCCCACACCTGGGCCCCCCCCACACACACACTCACCTTCCAGCAGCTCTGCGAGACCCCAGTCCTTCCTGCGGTCTAGCTCACGGGGGCTGGCGGATGAGCTCCTTCTGGGGCCACCGAGGCCAACCATGGTCCCTGGGGGAGACAGAGGGGGCTGAAGAGGACAGAGATCTGGCATAAAGGGGCGGGCCCCGACTCAAGAGAAACCAAGAGTCAAAGGTCACGCCGAGGAAGAGCAAAGGATTCCCGACAGCAGTTAAAGGTTAGAGCTCCACGGTCGCCAGCAGAGGGTCTGGGGGAGGGTCTGCAAAAGAAACCGAGTGTGAAAGTCAAAGTGCCGGGACAACTCCTCTCAGGAAGCCAGGCCAACGCTGGTGACCCGTGGGTGGCCTCAGTGGGGTTCCGAGGACCCTACAGGGCAAAGGGTAAAGGGCAGAATTTGGGAGTAGGTGCTGGATCCTGGGCCGCGAGAACCGAAGGTCACGGATTCAACAGCGGTTTAGGAGTCGCCACGGGGTGGACAGTCTCCTCCCGAATTACCTTCCAGGGCTGCGGGGCGGGTGCAGCCCGAGAGCCGCAGCGTCCTGCGGAACCCCGCCGCGCCGCGGGACCAGCACAGCGCCGACATGCTGCCAGCCGCCCGCAACTCGCATGCGCGCGCGCCGCTTGCCGGAAGTTGTAGTTCCGCGGGACTATGGTGGCTGCAAAAGCTCGCTCCGAACCCGTGCGCGGTCCGAACTACAACTCCCAAGGAGCAACGGGGCAGAGGCAAGAAGGCTGGCACCAGAGCCGAACACCGGTTGCTCGCGGTTGTAATCCTCGCTACTCCGGAGGCTGAGATCTGAGGATCGAGATTCAAAACCAGCCCGGGCAGGAAAGTCTGTGAGAACTCTTATCTCCAGTTAACTACCAAAAGGCCGGGAGTAGCGCTATGGCTCAGGATGGTAGAGTGCTGCTGGTCTTGAGTTCAAGCTCCACAGTCGACCCAAAACATAAAAAAAAGTGAAGATCACGGTTCGAAGCCACTCTAGGCAGGAAAGTCCCTGAGACTCTCATCTCCAATGAACCACCAAAAAGCTAGAAGTGGAGCTGTGGTTCAAGTGGTAGAGCACTAGCCTTGAGCAAAAACAAAAAAAGACTAAGGGGACAGAGCCCGGGCACTGAATTCAATCTCCAGGACAGACACAAAAGGAAAAAGAAAAAAGGCTTGCACAGGAGTTTGTCTCCACTTCCCCCCCCCCCCCAGTGTCCTCAAGGGGGAAGAGGTGTAACAGCCGTTGCTATGGAAACCTGGGTACATTTTTAAGGCTGTCGCTGGAAGGCCAAGGACCGCCCCCCCCCTTTTTTTTTGTCTATCGTAGGGCTTGAACTCTGGGCCTGGACGCTGTCCCTCGGCTCTTCAGCTCAAGGCAAGCGCTCTACCACTTGAGCCACAGCACCACTTCAGTTTTCTGGTGGTTAATTGGAGATAAGAGTGTCATGGACTTTCCTGCTCCGGCTGGCTTTGAACCGTGATCCTCAGATCTCAGCCTCCTGAGTAGCTGGGTTTACAGGTGTGAGCCACTGGAGCCCTGCTTATTTTATCTTTGTTGATGTATTTGCCAGTCCTGGGGCTTGAACTCAAGGCCTGGGCACTGTCCCTGAGCTTTTTCTCAAGGCTAGCACTCTTTTATCACTTGAGCCACAGCACCACTTCCAGCTCTTTTATTGTATGTGGTACTGGGGAGTTGAACCCAGGGCTTCATGCATGCTAAGCAAGCACTCCACCACTAAGCCACCTTCCCAGGCCTTTATTTTATTGTAAATATGCTGTACGGAGGGGTTACAGTTACATGAGTAAGGTAATGAATACATTTTTTGTGGAACATTGTTAGCCACTCCTTTGTTTTTCTCCCACTATCCCTTCCCTCCCCCACCAGCCCTTTATCTTTATTTTTATTGTCAGTTGTGGGGTTTGAATGCAGGACCTGGGCAATGTCCCTGAGCTTTTGTGCTCAAGACTATGCTCTACCACTTTAAGCCACAGTTTCATTTCCTTTTTTTTTTTTTCTGGTGTAGTACCAGAGTTTGAAATCAGGACCTTGCACAATTGAGCTTTGCCTCTAGCTTTTGTTGCTTTCAATTTTGTTTTTGTTTTGTGCTTGTCCTAGGGCTTAGAACTCAGTCCCTGGGCACTATCCCTGAGCTGTTACATTCACTGTTGCTCTAATACTTGAGCAACTTCCAAGCTTTTGCCAATTAATTGGAGATAGGAGTCTCCAGGACTGTCCTGCCTGGGCTGACTTTGAACCATGATGGTCAGATCACCTCCTGCTGAGTAGCTAGGATTACAGACAGGCACCCAGCTTAGATTACGATTTTTCTTTTTGGTGCTGGGGCTTGAACTCAGGGCCTAGGCACTTTCCCTGAGCTGCTTTTGCTCAAGGCTAGCACTATACTACTTGAGCCATAGTGCCACTTCTGGATTTTTTTGTTATTTGGTACTGAGGAATTGAACCCAGGGCTTTGTGCATGCTAGGTGAGCACTCTACCACTAAGCCACATTCCCAGCCCCAGGTTACTTTTTTTTTCAAGATGGAATCTTGGGGTTTTGTCCATGCAGATCTGAACCAGGCTCCTCATGCCTACTGCCTTCCTTATAGCTGGAACCATGGACATTCACCAACGAGTCTTCTTGAGATGGGCTGTGTGGTGGGGGTGGTGCTGGTCCTGGGGTTTGAACTCAGGGCCTGGTGGCTGTCCCTGAGCTCTTTCACTCAAGGCTAGCTAGTGCTCTACCACATGAGCCACAACTCCACTTCCAGCTTGGTGCTGGCTAATTGAAGATAAGACTTTCCTGCATGATCTGGCTTTGAATTGTCATCCTCAGATCTCAGCCTCCTGAGCAGTTAGGATTATAAGTGTGAGCTACTGGAACCTGGCTAAGATCTCAATTATTTTTGTATGAACTGGCCTTGACCTGTGAAGTCTGTTTCTCACATAACTGAGCTTTTTTCTTTTTTTTTTTTTTCCTTTTAAGGAAGACTCACCTAATTTGGAAGCTGTTCTGCAATTTGGGATTTCTGCCTGCAGTCTTCTTAGTTAATTCAACTTGAACTTACAATCTATGTATTGTGAAGGAAGCTGAGCTTCAGGGAAGTTGATCAACTGACTCGAAGTCACCGTGTGAGAGACTGAAGAGAAAGTTCAGATCTGGCCAACTCTCTTGGTTGTCATGACCATTTTTTATTTTTGTGTTTGCTGGTCCTGGGGCCTGGAACTCTGGGCCTGGGTGCTGTTCCTCAGCTTCTTTTGCTTAAGGCTAGCACTCTACCACTTGAGCCACAGTGCCACTTCCACCTTTTTCTGCTTATGTGGTGCTGAAGAATCAAACCCATGGCCTCATGCATGCAAGGCAAGCTCTCTACCACTGAGCCACCTTCCCAGCCCCTGTGAAACTCCAATAGACCACCAGAAAATCAGAAGTGGCACTATGGCTCAACTGGTAGAGCACTTGCCTTGAGCACAGGCCTAGAGTTCAAGCCCCATGACTGACAAAAAAAAAGTCTCATGGACTTTCCTGCCCAGGCTGGCTTTGAACCATGATTCTCAGATCTCAGCCTTCTGAGTTACTAGGATTACAGGCGTGAGCCACCAGTTCCTGGCCAGATCTGGCCAGCTCTCAATTGAAAAAGAAAACAATGGAGAGGTAGGATGCATGGCTCAGTTGGTAAAGCATCAGCCAATGAGTAAAAGAATCAGATACTGAGTTTGAGTCCCAGTCTCTGGTCTTAAAAAAAAGAAGAGCCAGGCGCTGGTGGCTCACGACACTTGTAATCCTAGCTACTCAGGATGTTGAGATCTAAGGATCAGGATTCAAAGCCAGCCCAGACTTTTTTAATTTTTAAAAAATTTTTGTTTTTGGCCGGGCGCTGGTGGCTCACGCCTGTAATCCTAGCTACTCAGGAGGCTGAGATCTGAGGATCACGGTTCAAAGCCAGCCCAGGCAGGAAAGACCGTGAGACTCCTATCTCCAATAAACCACCAGAAAACCGGAAGTGGCGCTGTAGCTCCAGTGGTAGAGCGCTCGCTTTGAGGGCTTGAACTCTGGGCCTGGGCGCTGTCCCTCAGCTCTTCAGCTCAAGGCTAGCACTCTACTACTTGAGACACAGCGCCACTTCTAGGTTTTTCTGCTTATGCAGTGCTGAGGAATCAAACCCAGGGCTTCATGCATGCAAGGCAAACACTCTACTACTGAGCCACAGTCCCAGCCCCATTCATGAGACTCTTATCTCCAGTTAACTACTGGAAAATGAAGTGGCTCTGTGGCTCAAGTGGTAGAGCGCTCACCTTGATCTGAAGAGCTTGAGGGACAGCGCCCAGGCCCATGACCAACAAAAAAATAAAAGAAAAGAGAAAGAAAGAAAGAAGGAAAGAAAGAGGGAGGGAAGGAAGGGAAGGGAAGGAAAGGGAAAGGAGGGAGGGAGGGAGGGAGGGAAAAGAAAGAGGAAGAAAGGAAAGAAGAAGGAAGGAAAAGAGAACAGAACAGAAAAGAAAAGGCCAATAGGCCCCTTTACTACTAGGTTTCCTAGGTATTTTTTCCATCCACTCCTACTGGCCTCAGTTTACCTAGTTCATTTTACCTCAAGCCCCCAAAGACAGAAGCAGGAGGAAGTACATTAAATAGGGAGATGAGAAAAGGAATGAGTAAATCTGGGAGCCTGGACTCAGCAGCAGCAGCCTCCAGGAAATCCTAGGCAAGCATATGAGGCACCAGCGCATCAGAGTGAAACCTGGCAGTTATGCCCCCCCCCATCCTTCAGTTTGGGGAACTGAGGCTTAGAGGAACCCCTGGCCTTGGACTTGCAAGGAAGGAGACTGGGACTCTATGAAAGCAGATCTCTTGGTGAATCTCCCAGACAGTCAGTAAGTGCAAAGGCCCTGGGGCAGGATCTGGGGCGGGGGAGGGACCAGAGCTGGGCTGGAAAGAAAGCAAAGGTATGCTGGAGGAGCCCAGGTCCTTCCTTCCTCAGCTCAAGCTACCCTGAGTCCATAACATTTGGACTTCCTTTCTTTACCAACCCATTGCTAAGTACTGGACGTTTGGCCCCTCAGTAGCACATCCCAGGCACAGCTGCCCACGCAGGCCTCGGCCTCAGTGATGCCACCAGCTGGGAATGTTTTCAGTAGACAGCAGAGCAGCGTCTTCCCCAACCTGCCCAGCTCACCCCAGGATGCCTGGGGCACAGTGACCTCAGCGGTGACTTCCTCCTGAGCTCAACTTCCTGGCTCAGCCTCCTCACAGGGCCTCCGTCCCTTACATTCAGGTTCCTCTAGGGTCTGATGAGACCCTGGGCCCTGCCCTGCCAGAACCTGCCAGAAGCAGGCTGAATCTCTTAACAGTGAGAGCTGCACACTGCTCTCCAACTCAGTACCTTGTGTGTCTGTGTGTGTCTGTGTCTGTGCTGGTCCTGGGGCTTGAACCCAAGTCCTTGGTGCTATCCCTCAGCTTTATCACTCAAGGCTGGTGTTTTATCACTTGAGCCATGGCTCCACTTTTGATTTTTTTTTCTTTGTCAGTCCTGTGGCTTGAACTCTGGGCCTGGGCGCTATCCCTCAGCTCTTCAGCTCAAGGCGAGTGCTCTACCACTTGAG